GGGAGGTTTTCTTTAACCAGATGTCCTCCAGGCTGTGATGGGATGTAGTCTAAATACCTAGACAGCTAGAAACTAAGAGAGAGGAGAAGGGATTACATGGACAATTGTCACTGTGGATGACACCTTGTGCTTTCATACTGCTTTAGTTTGGAAAGTGGTTTGGTTTTAGGGTGGCAGCTACGTTCTCCCGATCCCATTGTAATGGGATAGGCAAACTGAGCCCAGTTGCATGAAATACCTTGCATGAGAGCCCTTCCAGAGATACAGGATAGCCATAATAAAGACTGTAGTTCATCCATAACTCAGGTTGAGAAAGTAGCCATATCACCTCTCAGCTTAATCTCCTCCTCTTCTTTTTCTTTTGGCAGAGGAAAGAGCCCAGAGGCCCAGACTTCAGCTCAAGCCCCGGACAGTTGCTACGCCCCTCAATCAAGTAGCCAATCCCAATTCTGCCATCTTTGGTGGAGCCAAGCCAAGGGAGGAAATAGTAAAGGAGCATGACTGAGGGCACTCGGGGCAAGAGTGGGGGAAACGGGATTGAGGGAGGGGCTGGGTGGGGGTGGGAGGAAACGCAAGACAGCCCAGAGTGTCTCACTGAGCTCAGAACATTAACCCCGCAGCCACCATTCCTACCATCTGACACTTGTCCTCCTTGAAACCGAAATGGAAAACAAAAACAAAACAAAACAAACCAGAGCTTGTGAATGCATGTCAGCTGTTAACAAGTGGTTTTTAGCACATTTTTGGCTTCTCTGTATGTAGTGCCTGCATTCTCTTAAGTTCCCCAGCCCCAGACTTCCCTCGTTCCAGGCTCAGGGCTGGCTTCCAGCCAATAGAGCACCTCTTCCACAGTGGATTTCTTTAATCCAAGGTGCTGCTTCACCTTTTTCTTCGTTTCTGACTCTCTTCTTCCCAGACATCTGAGTCAGACTCCAGTTGTTCTCCTCTGCCTTCCACAGTGCTTCTTTGTCCGCGGCATGTTCAGCCATCCCCAGTGACACTCAACTCAAAAGAGTCCTGCCCAAGTGAAAATGTTGCCAAAAAAAAAAAAAAAGCTCCCGCAACACAGAGTTAAGCCACTGGGCACTTTGGAATAGATCCAAAATCCGTTTCTTCCAGGATAGTTTAAAATGTAAACTGCAGTAAGAGCAAAGGATGCCCTCTGCTCTGGGCCCCACTGGCACCGCGCAGGGCTCTGCCTGGAGCAGAAGTTATATGTCTGTATTGGAGTCTGGCATGAAAAATGCAGTTGGATGCATTCTTGACTTGGCCTGTGTCATTCCCACTAGTGCTTAGAGGTTGGTGTGCTGTTGACATTTGTGCCAACTCTGTAGCACCCATGACTTCCTTCCAACATATTCTGTGTTTTGTTTTATTTTTTCCACAGAATTGCTAATGGCTTTCTAACTAATTTCTTAAATAAAAATTTTTTCCCCTCCCTTTGGGAGGTTGGAGGCGCTTTGTTTTGAATGAAATGGTGTCTTAACTTCGCCATGCCAGCATTTTGATTCTTTCAGTATGTTTTGTGCTCTTCCTCTTTAGCTTCTCCAATAAGCAGAGGGGAGAGCACCACATTATACAGTTTCAATTGGCATCTTAACAGCATGGAGGCCTAGCAAACTGAGCAGCTGACAAATGTTCATTCCCCTTGTGTCTCTGTGTGAATAAATTCTGCTGGAAAAAGCTGGATGCAGCAAGTAACCTAGAAGGAAAGAAGCACTAAATAGTGATGTAAACTTGAGAAGTTTGTCGCCTGCTCAGCTGTTCAGTTTGTAGGATTCATGGCTCAGCCTGGGCAGAGTGGGAATACCTGCGGTGCCTGACTTCAGTGCTAACATATCTTATTTGTAGCTTTGATACAAATAACAGGATAGAAACTGGCAGGTTTTCTCTTTTCTGGGGCTTCCCCTCCTTTTAAATGCTAAATCTTGCCCAATTTCTAAAAACAGGTCTTTCAATTTGCAAAATTAATTCACAAACTTCCAAGAGCAGCTTTTATTTGGATATAAATAAAATTATTAGCAAAGGTCTTCATGATTTACAAAAGAGCAAATGTTTCTTTTCCTGACCTCCTTGTAATTTGAGCATATTTTTGAGAATAAGAACCATTTGTTTAACACTAACTTTCTTTAAGACATGCACTGTGTGGTTGTATTGTAAACAAAATCCACCCAATAATCTCTCTTCTGCTTTAAGTAAGGAAGAACCAAGATTTTAAGAGCAAAAAACAAGATTTCTCCATGCAAGGCTCACTCAGTCGATCCATTTGATTTTTAAATGTGTAAAGAGAAATTTCCAAACACTTAACACATTCTGCTTCATGACAAAGTAAATTTATGGATATGGTATTTTGTGAATGATCTTTTAAATAAAGAAAACATTAAGTAATATTTAAGGCTGGTCTGTGTTGAAGTTTGTTGGCAATTTTGGGACAGAAGAGCTAGCTTTTACCAACAGATTTCTTCAGTTTTCAGACTGGGGTAACGTGGAGTGGTTGGGAAGGTTGCATAAGGGTGCCAGTTGTTCCATGGCTGGCTTCTGAGCTCAAGGTATTTTTGTGAAGTATTCACTCTTGCACCCCTTACATGTGTATCTTTCTTGGTCCTCTATGTTACTTTTGTACATTGGGAAAGGAGCAGATTATTTTTATTATGAGACTAATTCAAGGTTTTAAAGTAAAATCCGTTCAGAGAGAAAACAGGATTATGTTTTTATTTGGCTTTTTTTCCTGATATACATTTTCAGGGCAGTTGTTTGGATCCTATCAAACTGATGGCTGTATCTGCTATGGTTCCACCATATACAGGTAGTCCTTGACTTAAGACCACAATTGAGCCCAAAACTTCTGTTGCTCAGTGAAGCAGTTAAGTGAATTTTGCCCTGTTTTATGACCTTCTTGCCAGAGTTGTTAAGTGAATCACTGCAGAATTTGGCTCCCCCCTTCCCCCCCCCACCCCCCCAATTGACTTGCTTATCAGAAAGTCGCAAAAGGTGATCCCATGACCCTGGGGCACTGCAATTTTCATAAATATGAACCAGTTGCCAAGCGTCTGAATTCTGATCATGCGGCCATGGGGATGCTGCAATGGTTGTAAGTGTGTGAAATGGTCGTAAGTCCCTTTTGTCAGTGCCATGGTAACTTCAGAGGTCATTAAATGAACTGTTGTAAGTCGAGGACTACTTGCATGCCCCCAGTTCTGAAAACAACAAATTATTACGGTGCCAGTCTGGATCGTGAAAGTTCAACCAAATACAATATGAAAGGGCGAGCTAAAAAAATGCAAAACTCTTGTCATGAGCAACCCAGTTCTGTTGTCCATTCTGAACATACCAGTGCCCAATCGCCAGGCTTACAGGTGTATTCATACCTGCCTAAGTGTTCTCCTTCACGAAAAATTCGTAAGCACCACTGGTCAGAATTACAGCCAGCCAGTCTACCTATGAAGGGTTGGATTAATCTGGACTTTTCAAGAAAACATTCCAAGATTTCTATTTCATCCACGGCAGAAGGATAATCTCAACAGATGTTGATGGTTGTGGGATGGTTAAGGAGCAGATTTGGGCAGGAGAGAGACCATTATGCAGTGGTTAAATTCAGTATGGGGCAGTTCCTAATATATAATTTTATACATTTTCCCTAACAACTTTTTCTGTAAGAAAAACACAAATTTTGTCATTGATAGAAAAATATTACTATGTAAAGTGTGAAAAATAGGTACCTGGAATATATTCTGATTAAGGAGGAAAATGGATGACAAGGTGAGCACGTGGATGATACAGTGTCTATAAACAGATTAAGTACGTACTCTTGCACCAAACATCTATATCTTAAAAGTCTTCTGATTTTTGTGAGAAATTTTAAGTCTATTGTGGAAATCAGTCTCTCATTTTCTCAAGGATTGTCAGTGGCATCTTCTGGAGAACTGAAAAATCCCCCTATTCGTTATTTTTTAAATATTAACCATTGCTGATGTCCAATTTGTTTTCATGTATTTTGTTTACAGATTGGCGGATTGTCTGATATATAGAACATAATGGAGCATTACTGACAAATGGTGGCATATACAATGTAGATTTTATACTTTTCTGTTTGTGATGGCCGCGAGGCCCAAAAGGGCAGTACGGCTGCATCTGATCACTTTCGCCCATTTAGCACCTCCCAGGGAGCACATGTAGTTTAAGTAAGGGATGTTATGAACACGGGTGAATTTTGCTTATATATATGTTTGCTTTGTCATGTTCTCATCATATGCTAAATAAATAATACCGTGCAGAAGGATGAAATGTGTGCTTCCCTGATAGCCGTGAGTGACATTAGATCTTATTATAAAGTTCCCAGATTAGAAACAGAACGGAGGTAGAGATAGCATCTCAGCCTACCACAAGATAGGTTTCCTGAGTCAAACATAGTGACATCATCAGTTGTGGCTAATTATGGTCACCTATTTTCTTTTTACTGTAAACTGCATCTTCAGGACTACAAAGCTTTTCTGTTTAGTTCTTGATGCCAAAAGTTTTTGTTTTGTGGCAGAAAATTAACAGAAAATTACTTTCTGTAATGTTTTTTTTTTGGGGCAATCCATTTATTAGCGAGTTTATGTTTGGGTGTATTTTTCGTGAAACTTGGGGGAAAAAATGCAAATAAATACAAGAAGTCCTAAATCCTGAAGAATGATTACCTTTTGACTCGGCCCTTCCTTTAGAACAGGGGTGTCAAACTCGATGTCATTGCCGCATCAGGGTTGGGTTTGATCTCGGGGGGGGGGAGGCAGGGGGGGTATGGCCAGCATGACATCATTCATGTTGGGGGGGGCACCTGTGGTGGCTTGAGCACTCTGCTAGCAAAAACAGGCTCCCAAGCTCTGTTTTCGGCTGGGAAGGCCTCCTACAATCCTCTGCCAGCCAAAACGGAGCTCGAGGAACCACGTGCAACCCTTGTGAGCTCTGTTTTTGCTGGCAGAGGCACCGTGAGCCAATCTGCTGTTTCCTGGGCAGCCCCGCAGGCCATATCTAAGCACCCTGTTGCCCGCATTGGCCCGTGGGCCTTGAGTTTTGGCACCCCTGCTTTAGAAGCTTAATGACCCACAATAGTTGCACATTACATTTATTAACACACCAACTTGATTCTTCCCCAATCACTTGGGCTAAGCTACCCAATCTCTGTGAGAATTGGTCAGGACAAGGTCATGTTCCTTTTTTCTTACCCTCTGCCTTGTGAGAAAATCCTCATCCAAACCGGAACCACAGACGTTGGGTTGAGTGAGTCACAGGTAACAGGAAGCTCGAGGCCAGCTCGCTGTTGCAGAGAGCAAGTAGCCACATGCAGCTTTGAATGTGAGACCGCTGAGTAAGAAATGGCCAGAGAGTAAAGGATCGGTAACTTCTGCGTCTTAGAAAACCTCTAAACTTTACAAGGTATGATATTCCAGCTTCTGTTGATTCTCCATTTTTTGCCTTCTGGATTTTATGCTAGCCCACTTCTTTCTGGCAGAATAGACTGTAACTCAGTTCAATTTCTCTCTAGATCACTCCTTTTTTTCATTTGTAAAAATTGAACAGGGAACAAAAGTGATCCCTCAAATTACAGACATAACAAAAAAAAACAACGAAGAAAATGTCATGACGCTTGGTATAGGTCTATGTAACAATGTGGAACTCTTATTAAACTTACATGTTTTCATTTGGCTTAATTAAATGTAGTCCGGCTGTTCTTACTTTTTCTAAGCAGATGGGCAAATTTCTTAAGAAAGTGATAGGCTACAATCTGCTTATTTGTATTTTCATATTTAAATGGTAGAGGCCATTCCTTGTTTCTCAGTAGGCTCTCTTTCCATTTCTCGCATTAAAAATATCTTTAAGTCAAAAAATCAAGCAAGGGAAAAGAACCTCGTGAGTACTAAAAGGATCTGATAACAGCTGTTCAGATTAACACATTTTAGGCATCTGATGAAGAGAGCTCACAAGACCTTAATGCCTTTTAGTAACTTGTTAATCTGAAAAGCTACCCACATTCCTGATTCTTGGCTGTCAGACTAACCCAGCTTTCTTACAATATGCAACAAAGAAGTAGGCAACTGGGCTTGAGCTGAAGGCAAGATCTCTGGGTTGTAACCCTCTGCTATAGTGTCCTATTAAGATGAACCTGTGAAATGCATACATGCATTTGTGGTATTTTATGCTTGTGCAATTTGTCACAAGTTATTTACCTGAACGGTTGCAACTCTACAGTCTGTCTTGGTTGCTCCTTTGAAGACCAAACTTCTTTATCAACGAATAGTCCATAACAGTGCACAATGATGCAAATTAGTGTGGGTAAAATCTTATTTGCTCATTTTGTTTTAATGCGCAAACTCTCCAACTGCAAGGTGCTATATTCTATGAAGTTTTGTAACACTGCCATATATAACGGTATTTCCATTAGGAACAACTGATCTGTCACATTGGGAGCGAATTTTTTCCTCCTTAATATTATATCCTCTTTTTCAATTTTTGGGTAAGTTGCCTTCTGTTTCCACTGACTGCCTTGTTAGTTTTGCAGTCGGCACATGCTAACTCTGCCAAAAAGGCATCACACTTTAAAAAAAAATATTTTTAATGAGAAGCAGGTAGGATTGGTGGCTGTAGGAGAATTGGCAATCAGATTAACAGAGTTGGAAGGGACTTTGTAGATCATCTAGTCCAACCCTCTGTCCAAGAAGAGGACCCTGCAATTCTTTTTTGAAGAAATCTTTTTTTTTTTTTTCAGGAGTAGATCAACATGTCAGGGATCTTTCTGTACCTGAATTGTAGTTCTGCAAAGTAAGAAATTGCCAAAAATGGGTGATGGGACATCTTATTGATCTCTTGTTTTAAATTTTACATAGATGGTCTGCTTGGACTTCTGGCCTGCCATCAAATAATTGGTATGTGCTTCACTTATGGCTATGATAGAGCTTCTTTCTAGCTCTCAATCACCAAAAATAAAACAATTTTAAAACCATGGCTCCATTAGCAGTGAAAATTAGTCATGCTGCTATTTCTCAGCCTTTTTACTTTATTCTTGTTTTCATAGCCATCACAATAAACAACTCTTGATAGCTGGTAGTGGCTTCATTTATTGGAAAATATTAAATTAGAGATGTAATATTTTGGTATATATATATATATATATATATATGTACAAACATGGTTGTAGACACCCATCCACACCAGGCTTTATATTAATTTTTCCAATAAAGTACGTGAATTTAATATAAAAAGTTCTGGTCTGTCAAAAATTGTTGTTCATTATTAATGGGAGACACAGATAGGATCTCTTGCACTTCAGTTAAAAACCACTTGCTGGCAGGATGTCAAAAACGTCTCCCTTTCCTAGGCATCTCCACCATTCACATTAAGGCCTAAAATTATTATTTTGGAGATCTAGAACAGAAATTGGATTACAATTTTGGTTCTGAAGGAATAACAATTATCACCTGCTTTTTCTGATGAATTTGTGAAACTGAAAACACTAGAGCAGTAAAACAGAATTGATACATGGTCTCCGTGGCAGTCACTGCATAAATTTTTGCATGCATCGTTGAGTCAGTATTGACTCCTGAAGATTGCTGGAGAAGGACTTGACAGGATTTTCGATTTATACACTGCCCATCTCACTATCTGACTCTGGGCAATATACAGATAAAAGCCATAAATCTATATTTAAAAGATACAGTTAAAAAAACAGAGTTAAAAAAGCAGAGGGTGTGCCCTCAACCTACCAATCATCTCCAAGGTTGCATATCATTCATGGATCCTGTGTGAAGCCAGGTCTTCATGCTCTTCTGGGAGGCCAGAAGAGTGGGGACCAGCCTCAATTCTAAAGGCAACACAGTGGTGGGATGCAGCCGGATTGCACCGGTTTGGGAGAACCAGTTGTTAAATTACTCACCCCCTGCTATCAAAGTGGATCCTGGTCATTACGTTGTGCTGCAATGGAGAAACAGGCAACAGAGCGGCCAGCATGAGGGGAGGAAAAAGCTGCTATTCTCTCTTTCTTCTCCCTGCTCCTCCTTCCCTTGTACCGGCCACTCTGTTTCCCGTTTCTTCATTGCAGTGCAGTGCCCAGAATCCATTTTGATAGCTGGGGCAGGGGGTAATTTAACAACTGGTTCACCCAGGGTCAGGTTGGCCATCGCAGGAGACTCATCCCGCATGTGCAGTGGAGCTGGAGGACGGGATAGGCCATGCCTCCCACAACAGCCACCCGACCCTGGGAGAACCGGTTGTTAAATTATTTGAATCCTACCTCTGGGACAACATGTATTAGGGCAGAGTTAATGGCAGAGAAAGCTCCCTTGTCCTTCGTCCTTGCTTCCTTCTTCCAAGGGCCAAGAGATGTCCACTGGTCCAAAGTCATCCAGATGGTTATCAGGATTCCAGCAATCACTCTAATTAAATCATGATTATTGAGCCAAACTTCAAAAAACTTCAAAGGATTTTTTAGAAGCGACATACTGGCACTGCCCTGAATGAAGCCAACTCTGGCATACGTAATTTACAGTCACCTGTGACCCTGTTTCCCCCCTCCCCCCGAGTGGTGTCATAAATCAGATTCTCCAATTGAGCACATTCACAGGCTGGGTGTCATCATTCACATTCTCCAATTAAATATATTCGTGGGCAAAAACTCTGGTATTTTAGTTACCATCTTTTAAAGATAAGAGTTGGAATGTACTTTCGCTTTCAACTGCTCTTCCAGATTTCCTTCCTCCTCCCCCCCCGCCACCCCTTTTATGGCAACTACTAAAACAGACATAGGAATGTTTTATGAGTTGACAATGGCTTTGTGCCTAGGACAGAACTAAAAATCATGATTTCCCAGTTTCTAGCTTGATGCTACACCTCGATCTTTTACATGCAAATAATTGAATACACCAACAATCAATGGCTTAGTTAATCAACAGCATCTTCTCACTTTATTCCATGCTGGAATAGTTGTTTTCTCCATTCCTTTTTTCTCCTTTGAAATAGCACGTAGGACTTAGACTTATATACTGTTTCACAGTGCTTTCAGCCCTCTCTAAGTAGTTTACAGAATCAGCCTATTGTCCCCCAACAATCTGCGTCTTCATTTTACCCACCTCAGAAGGATGGAAGGCTGAGTCAACCTTGAGCTGGTGAGACTCGAACTGCCGAACTGCTGGCAGTCAATAAAATTAGCCTGCAATACTGCATTCTAACCACTGCACCACCACGGCTCTATAATCTATAATCCAGTAAAGAGAGGTCTGTGAGAAAATCCCCAAACCTTTGAATAATTTTTAAGCCTATATTTGAAAACTTCCGGTTTGTCGGCTTCGCGAGCGGCAGGGATTTGCGATCCTGCGCGATCCCTGCCGCGCTAGCCGCTTTGATGCCTCCGATCCATCGATCTGGAGGCTAGGGCTGCCATGAAGAGGCAGCCCAAGATAGGAGGGATCCGGACAGGGGATTGGGGTCTTCGCAGACCCCTTCCCCACCCGGCTTAACCCTCTTTCTCAAGGCGATGGAGCGGCGGTCTGTAATGGCCGCCACAAAGAAGCTGACAGCTGGACAAGATCGTGCTGGAGGAAGAGAAAGTGCTGAAGTGAAAGTTTCTTGGCTGAACTGGACTATAAGATACAAGTAATACAAGTAATATCCTGAAAATTCGGATTTTTTGAAAGATACTTTGTTTCCAGAAGAGATTTATAAGCGGCGAGTGAAAGTGTTTTAAGAGAAAGTTTACTCTCCTTCCACATGGATTTAACAAATGGATATTGAAAATCCTGCTATTTTATAGAAGGTAAAAATTTAAAGCTTTCTGTTATAAGTGGGAAGGGAGAGGACAAAAAGAAAATTTTCATTAAGATTTTGCTGGAGGAGATGCCTGGAAGATTTGGAGATTGGAAGTTAATTGTAATGAGACTTTAAAATACAGATTGGGTTTTTTTTTCCCTTGCCAACTGATATTACCCCAGGAAGAAAAAGTGTGAAGAACTTTGTGTTCTGTTTGGATTGTTTGATGACTTTGGGATTTTGGGGAATTGTTTTAAGTTTTGAATTATCTTGGTTGTTTTAAAAAGAAGAAGAAGAGAAAAAAGAAGAAGAAAAGGTTTATAATGGCTTTATCTGTTGATGAACTGAGAGAGGATAAAAAAAAAGAAGGTAAAGACGGTGTGAGAGAAATTTTTTGCTTTTTAGAAATGGCGTTTGCTACTTATCAACAAACAGCAATTAATGGAGGATAAAGAAGAAGAAGAAGAAGAAGAAGAAGAAGAAGAAGAAGAAGAAGAA